AGCCATGACCTTCCCAATGCCAAGGTGAAGGAGAGAGCAGCCAACTTCAAGTGACTGCAGAGTAGTATTAGGTTCCATGCCAAAAAAGTCGTCTCCCTACTTGTCGCCATGTCTGGCTTGATGAGGTGGCTGGAGCTCTCGCTTATTGGTCATTCCTTTGCTTTAAGGCTTTGAAGGTTTCTATAAAAAATCATATCTATTTCTGGAAACAGCTTTCTTCATCTACATCTCATTGGAATTCTGGTAGGGGCCCCACCTTAAAGTGTGTGCCAGACTCTGTCCTGGCACCTTGCCTGGTGACCTAGGATGAAGTTCCACTTTGCCTGCCTGTGTCAGTCTCCCTCCTGAGCCAAGGTTTTGAGGACTGGTCCTACCAGCAGCTTCCCCAGTGCGCCTGACTGTGTGGTGTCTCATAAAACCCTGTGGCCTGGCTTCCCTGCTGATGTGCCCCTCCACCTTCCCTACTATCTGCCTTTCTGTGTACTTAAGGTCTTCTTTCTTTGACTTTTTTTTTTTTTTTTTTTTTTTTTTTTTTTTTGGGGTTTAGAACTCGGGTCCTTGCACTTACAAGGCAGGCCACCGAACCACTGAGCTAAATCCCCAGCCCTCTTTGACTTCTTTAATGCCACGACCACTCTGGACCACACCTTCCTGTTTCTTTCCTTTGGATACATCCTTCTTCCTTTCAGCCCAAACTCCTTTCTGGGTCTGCAGCTAGCTTCATCCTTAGGCAGCCCCACCTCTTCTTCCCACCCCTACCCCAGGGAATGGGCCAAGCATAGAAGGCCCCAAGTGTGTTGGAAGAATCCATACTGGCAGAAATGATAGTTGTGACATCAAGCAGGCCCATTTCCAACTTTATGTATGATATTTACTTGTTCTAATCCAGACCTTTTACAAATGCTCCTGCTTCCTTGAGTGAAGAGGTTTCTATCCCTTGAAGTTTTTTCAGAAAAAGGCATGTGGGTTTGTAACAGTTCAAAACTGTTAGGACAGACTAAAATAAGGGACAGCTGTATTCTGGGGGTTCCTGGAAGGAATCTGGATTCTCCTGCCTGGATTCTTCCTCTACTTGCAGTGGCTGGCTTCACATCTGTCAGATGTTTCAATTACCTCTTCAAAAAGGACTTTCCATTCATCCTGTTTGCAGAAAGACCTTCCCTCCCTTGTACTTATGTGATTTGTTTACTTGCTCGGGAGGCCCTTCCCATTAGGCAGTAAGCTAGAAAGGGCAGGAGCTGTGATGATTTATAAAATTCTATTCCTAAAGCCTAATATAATGCCTGGCTCAAAATGGCTGTTCAATAAATATTTGTTGAATGAAAAATTTTCTTTTTCTGTTGAGATGATGACAAAAATCTACCCATCTCTAATGATCAAAATCTACCCATCTCTAATGGTAGTCGGGTCACTAACAACAAGAAAAAAAAACTTATTCTATTTATTTATTATTTGAAAATTCTTTTTGTCACTAAGGGTCAATACATGTACTGACTCGGGGGGCTTTCAGGATCTCCCAGGTTCTCCTGGGAAGTGATGTATTATTTTTGAGAGCCTATTCCTGCCTCACCATTTTCCTCATTTACAGATCATGAAAATGGTGTTTCAAACAACCTTCAAGATGCCTCACATCCAAGTTTATCTCTCTGCTATCAAAAAAATTTTTTCAGCTTTAATTGAGTTTATTGGTACATTTTAGGGATACAATACAGTTACATTCATTGTTGGGATCTCGTACCTCTACATGACAAGTCTTGATTCTCATTTTTTCCCCTTACCCCTGCCCTCCCTTCACCCCCTCTTCCCCTCCCCATCTACAAACACTTTATTTTCATCTTTTCATTATCTCACATTTTTTTTATTTTCCCTTATTACCCTTCCGCTACCCATCCCACCTTCCCTACACCTTTAGCTCCTTTCTTCACATTTCTAAATGTCAGTAATCTTATTAGGATCTTATGTATTATTGCAGATTATTCACACCAGGGAAACTATTCGGTATTTACACGTGTGACTTATTTATTTCACTTAGGAGTGTATCTTCAATATGTATCCATTTTCCTATGAATGAATCTATTTTCTCATTCTTTATGGCTGAATAATATTCCATTTTATAGAAAAACCACATCCTCTTTATCCAGTTTCCAACAGATGGGCAAATGGGCTGTTTCCAAGATTTAGCTATTACAAACTGTGCCACTATAAACATGGGTGTGCATACTTCTCTGTGATATGATTCTTTTAGTTCTTTTGGAAAGATACCCAGCAGAGGGATGGCTGGGTCAAATGGAACCTCCAGTCCAAGCTCTTTGAGGTATCTTCATATTGATTTCCATAGTGGTTGCAGCAGTCTGCACTCCCACCAACAATGGAGAAGGGTTCCTTTCTCCCCACAACCCCGCCAACATTTGTTATTGTGTGATTTCTTGATTCTGCTATCAAAATTTGATGTTAGAGAAATATCCAAAATTCATTCTTCATAGGAGTTTTGTTAGTGTTTAACCACTTAAAAGTCTTTAGCCATTGGAATGAAGCACCAGTGGTAGAAATTCTGGTCTTATCTACCACTAGAGGAAGAAAATGAAGAATAGAATCCTGAAGGGGCCTAAAATTCAGTGTTCACTGTGTTATCAACAAGATTTAGAGATGAAAACTTGGTGGCAGGGAGAAAATGAGAGTAGAAATGCACAAGGTTGAAATCTTACTATGAAATAAGTCCTTTGGGCTTTTGCAGTCCAAGCATAATGCAGTATAAACTGTTAAATTTTGTAGCTATGTTTATAAAACTAGGAGATGTACATTCACTTTTTTCCTAGGAGAAAAAAATGAGTACCAGATCTTTTTTACAGTTGAAAACCCCTGGGCTGAGCACCTTACTCTTGGGCGGGTGTCAGGTGCACACCCCAATCTCAGCCTCAATGCCCTAAGACGCAGTCAGTGATCTTCCTGCAAGACATCTTCAAGGGAGGTTTCCTGCCCTGCTAAACACTTCTGTCCATTCTTTTTAAAGCATGCGTTTCTTTCTTTTAAAGTGGTCCTTTTTATGGGTGAAGGGCTAGGGGGTTCCTTGACCCTTGTTTGGAGGAAGAATCGTTTCTCCTCTTTCAAAGATACACATTTCCAATCAGAGAGGCAGGCAAGAAGCTGCACCACTGTTGGAGAACCTCCCTGGACCTGGCTTCCCACATCTCTAACGTGAGGACCCTAAGACCTATTTTACTGCCGTCCTTGAGCTCTCCACCTCTTCAGCCTTAGCCATACATTCAGGTCCAGGTCTGGCCTTTCCTTTTCCATTTCTATTACTTCCTGGAGACTTATGGTTCTAAGAACGAATAATAAGTTCATTTCCATTCAGTTCTATTTTAATTGTTTCCTTGTATTGTGTTAATTTGATCACTTTAGATGAATCAAATTGTGAATTTCAAAAGGGGAAGTTCTGGAATCATCCGTCAATATCCCAGGTTTTCAAACACCGTGCATTCACAGTAATAGCAAAAACAATAAAGATAATAACAATTCCCATTTAGTGACAGACTATTATACCCCAAGCACTCTTCTGAATTTTTTTTAAGGATTTTTTTCTTTTGGACTGGGGCTTGAACTTAGGTCTCTGTGCTTGTGAAGCAGACAGCAGAACCACTGAGCTAAATCCCCAGCCCTTTTTTGTTTTTGTTTTTGTATTTTGAGACAGGGTCTCACTATGTAGTTGAGACTGACCTGGAACTCACTATGTAGCCCGGGCTGGTCTTGAACTCACAGTGATCCTCCTGCCTCAGCCTCCTGAGTGCTGAGATTGCAGGTGTGTGCCACCACGCCCAGCCCCCAGCCCCTTTTTAAGGTTTTTTGAGACAAGGTCTTATATGTACTTCAGGCTGGCCTTGAACTTACAGTGATCCTCCTGCCTCAGCCTCCGAAATGCTGGAATTACAGGCATGCACCACCATGCCTAGCTTGAATTCTTTATAAATAGTCTCTCATTTAACAATCCTATGAGTTAGATTCTCCTAGGCCCAATTAGATAAGAAAACAAAGTCTCAGATATTAAGGTGCTTGCTGGAGAGAAGATATAAATCAACATCAGGAATTTTAACACTTGCACGTATGATTCCAAAGCCCCATGCTCCCCCACCACACTTGCCATGCTTCTCTTACAGTCAGTATCAAAGTCACACAACAGATAAATGTGGAGACAGGTTTTATTAAGACAGATTACACATATTTCATTTTTTTTCCTTCCTGAAAACCTGGACTAATCTCATAGAATTTTGAATTAAAAATCATTTATTTCACAAAACACATTTCAGAGATGGAAGAAGAGAGGATCATAATGCCAGTGCCAGATAATAAATGTGTTCCCTCCAGGGACCTGGGATGACCCATTCTTTCCAAAATAGTCTCTCAAACTCCAAGCAGTCATACAAATGGAGTCAATGACAAATGTGCTAGACTTCTTTTACTGGGATCCACCAGTTCGACCTTGTAAATAGCTCATAACTACTAAACTATACAACTTCTGTGTTGGATTCGGAAGTCCCTGGACCTTCTCCTTATCCTCTTTGTGGGCTATATTCATAGCAACCCTGCTGACCTTGTAATTTGGCCCATATATTCTTAACTGTTTCTTTGGCTTTGTCTCCTTCATTCTTAAAAGCTATGCAGCTACCAAGATGACAATGCCAGGTGCCTATGGATGGCCTTTAGATAGACTCTCTGTAGAGTAACTCTAACTGCTGATCACAACTACGACCCTCTTCAGCTGGAAGTAGCCAGAGCTGTCTTCACCCTTTGTCCCCTCACAGCATTTAGGGGTACTTCTTCAGAGGGGGGAATACTACATGTAGGCAAGTTAATTAGATATCTTGTATAATTAGATATCTTGTAGGCAGTTTGACGGTAGGTGGAGGAGCCAACACAGCATGGAGCCAACACGAGGACAATCAAGACACATTCACTGAAGGCCAGAATTGTAAAAGGAGTGAAACTACTATACCTTTGTGCTTTCCCTGGGGATAAAGAGCAGTGACTGATATTCTAAGAAGGTATCAATCACCTGGGTGGGGGGCCAAGGACTTAATCCAGCCTTTCCTGGAAATATCCCTGACCCCCACCCTTACTGAAAATCCTTGTGTGCTTGCTGTGTGACTTGCTCCCACGTTTGATCAATATTACCTGGGTGTCCATACTTAGAATCTTATTGGTCGGTCACGGTTTTGCCTCACCTCATGCCCACCTTGTAATTTTCCATTGGGTCTTATAGTTTTGTCCCCCTTTGTACCCACCTCACCACATGGCTTTGCTGTATAAAACATCTTGGAGAAGTGGGTTGAGCAGACAACCCAATTTCTGGCCCCCTTTGTGTCTCTCTTAGACAGAAGCTTTCTTTCTCTCAATAAATTTGTCCTGCTCTTAAAAAAACGGTCTCAGCTGGTGTGTTTTCTATCTCTTCTCTCAAGTTCTTCTCTCTACCCACCAACAGCATCAAAATAGTTGCAGAGTGGTCCAAAAATGAGCAGGTAGAGGAAAAGCTGGGTCTTCTTTGAGCTTTTAACCTCCTCTGTCCCAACCTCTCATGTGTATCTGTTGAGGTGAATAACACTAAGACAATGAGGCTTGGGCCCTCTGCCAGGCAATTAGAAGGCACAGGTTCTCTACAGTTTTCTTTCCTTATTTTGAGACTCCCCTCCCCTTCACCAACACACACACACACACACACACACACACACACACACACACACGCATGCATCTTTTACACGTAATAATGTCTTGGTATTCTCAATATCCAATTCTTAGCATCTGTCACCTGATTCACAATGGCAGCCCCCATCCCATTATGGATCCACTCAGTAGAGACACAAAGCCAGTCCATGGGGAAGGCAGCACTTTTCTGCTGCCTTTCCTTGGCAGTCTCAATAAAGGAATTGGGGAGATGTAGGACTCTCTGTGCACTTTCAGGGTCTTGCTAAGATTCCCCTACTTCTTCCATGTCCCTGCGGATGCCTCCAGGGAAAGAGAGATCTGGGTACCTCAATAGCTGTCATCATACCTCTGCCTGATAGTCTAAGTTGGCAGTTAATAAGAGAAATAGAAGAAAATATTTTCCAGTATCTTTTTCCCCAAAGGGAATCTAAGAAGACAGTGTTCTTTTTTTAATACATCCTGGGAAAATTCCACTGCTCTCAGTGGCTGGTGGTGTGTTCAGGATCTGAGAGAGGACAGTGATTTGGGGGTCATTCCTATTGATAAAGTGATCTTCAGAGGAACACTGGATAAACAGCCAAGTGAAGAAGTACAGGATGGCTTCTACCATTGGGCTGAACTGTAAGAAACAGTTCAGGAGGCACAGGATATGAGGTGGTGGCAGTTTGTGCATACAGCGACTCTCTGGAGGAGCTGGCACCCTCATGGGCTCATTTACCCTGGCAGAAGGAAAGGCCACAGCATCACCAAGGTGGGACATTTGCCTGAGATACATGCCAAGGCACTTGTAAAATTGAAGCTAGTCAAGTTCCAAGGATGTCCTTTTAAGACTGGGTAGAGGGAAGGGTAGTCAACCGCAGCCATAGGCCACCTCACCACCACTACAAAGTATGGCCCAACAGAGAAAACAACAGATTCAAGGGCACAGATAATCAAGTTTTTTGATTGGTGCTCTCTTGGACGAGAATTTTGAGTTCTTCTTTGGCGGGGAGGGGAGATGAGGTCAAGAGAGCCACGGGAACTTGGGAACTTATCTGATACATTGCTGGCATTCTATTCTTAGGGCTATCCTTCTCCAGCCTGATTTTGCCACAGTTCCCTTCCCTTCCCTTCCCCTATTCAGTGCATAATCTGAAAGACTTCTCTGAGTATACTGGTAAAAAATGAGGAGGGGACAACAGCCTGCTGGGCAGCCATCATGACCAAACTCTCAAGAACCCGGTTATACCTTCTAGAATTAATAAGCAATGCAAATGAGATTCACGGCCCAAAAGGAGCAGAGCAGTAATGAGAATGAGAATATGGGATCAAAAAGGATGTATCTTCCTTCTCTGAGGCCTCTTTCTCCAACCCCGCCTGGTTCTCCCATTGTGGAGGTTCACACTGATAGGTCATCTGACCTGGCCTTGCTGCTGGTCTTGCTCAGACGACGCTTTTCACTGTGGTAGCCATGGGGAAGGTGGTGACCTAATGAGACTCCATTGGGCAGGTCAGGCTTCTCACTATAGGACATATGGATGAAACCCTCCCCAGGAATCCGCTCCTGGCCCTGCACTTGCTCAGTGGCCATGTTGTCTGTGTTCTGCTGAGTGACCATATTGTTCCTGAAGGGACTGAAGAACTTCCCCCCAGGGCCATTCTCCAGGCACTGAGTGAAGTCAGGGGGAGGTGTGCAGCTCTGGGCTGCTCCTCCAGAGGGGCCAGGTAGTTGGCACTTAGCCACGCTCTGCCTCGACTGGACAAATCGCTGTTTGATTTTCCATCCCAGGTGGAAGAGTTCAACCAGACTGAGGAAGAGGGACAGCCCGGCCACAGCCAGCATAAAGACAATGAAGACGTTCTTCTCTGTGGGCCGAGATACGTAACAGTTGACGGGGTGGGGGCAGGGACTTCTACGGCAGACATGCAGGGTGTTCAGGAAGATTCCATAGAGGAAGTACTGGCCTACAATGAAGGCCACCTCCATGGTGGTGCGGATCAGGATGGTGCAGACGTAGGTGTTGAGCAGATTGCCCTGGAGGACAACCTTTCCATTCATTTCCTCCCAGCAGGACAGCTCTGGTTTCTCAGCCACCTGGTATTCGTAAGAACCAGCGCGGTGGATTTCTTTGGCTCTCTCGGCTTCCCGTAGTTTCCGCTTCTCCTGCATGCGCACGGTGTGCATGGCGTGGCCCATGTACACCAGGGATGGCGTGGAGACGAAGATGATCTGCAGCACCCAGTAGCGAATGTGGGATATGGGGAAGGCTTGGTCGTAGCAAACATTCTCACAGCCAGGCTGAATGGTATCACACTGGAAATCAGCCTGCTCATCTCCCCAGGAAGACTCGGCAGCCGTGCCCAACACGAGCATGCGGAATATGAACAGGATAGTGAGCCACACCTTGCCGATTATGGTGGAATGCTTGTGTACTTCCTCCAGGAACGCTCCCAGGAAGCTCCAGTCACTCATCTTGGCACAGGCAGGGAACCCACACCAAGACTTCTGCAGACAGGGGAGAGAGAGAGAGGAGTTTCTCCAGAGGTCTGGAAGGCCCCATCCTGCTGTGAGCATTAATTCATACCGACATGTTGTTTGAGAAAGTACAATTTAGAAGTCAAATGTACCCAAAAGGCTTCCCCTAAACACCCGCCTCCTCCGGAGAAATAAAAAGGGATTTGAAGCCACATAGATCATGGATCCCAGACCAGTGGATTTAGAGCCCAACTGTGGTGTGTTACAAAGTGGATTCTACGCCTTTACTTGAGATTCTACTTCAGGAAGGGTGGGGTGACCTCCAAGAATCTGGGTTTGCAGCAAGCAGACCAGATGTTCCTGGTGCAGACTATTCAGGACTGCAGTTGGAGAAACACTGGAGTAGTGGAAAGAAACACAGGATTGGAGTTTGCAGACATGGCCCTGGACACATGCTTCATTATTTCCTCATCAGACAAGTCGGTATGGAAAGGAGTACCGACACCAGAGGTTCTGGAGAAATCGAAAGAGATGAGGTATGTGATATGCTAGAAATTGTATCACAAGTGTTCCATATGTTCGAATGGCTGTTGGGCGGAAAAGCAATTTTGAACGGCTCCACGGGATACAGCTGACTAGGTGCAAGAGAATAGAGTGAAGATGGGTGTGGCAAATTTGGCTTTGGAGGAGGCATGGGTCGTGATCAGAGTTGCCCAACATGCACCAGCTGTATTGAAAGGTAGTAAACAAAAGCATGCTTTCAGGCACTCTCAAGGTATCACAGATGTGTTTTGGCTTCCCCCAGCTGGTAAGCCATAGGCAGTGTTGATCTTCCTGCTTCGGAACAACATTGCCATTCCAAACATGCAGCCTGGCTTTCTAAACTTTCTGCCTATAAACGATACCCAGGAGTTCCTTTTGTTTAATCATGCCAAGTCCTGACAGATTCCCAAAGGCCCCTCTTACCTGCCCTGTCACTCCTAGGTGAATCCCACTTACCTTTCAAAACTTAACTCAATCATTGTTTTCTGGAGTTCTCCTTCCTCTCTCTTCAGCTACTGCAGTGACATTGTGAGTGTTCATCCCTTCCTCCCAGTACTTCCCACCATGCCTTGCAACCTTCTGCCTGTCTGTGTTCTTCCAGTGGGGACTTTTTGAGACAAAGAGACTTAGCTTTTCCTTTGTCATCGGAGGCCCAGAGCAGGTGGTCAGCAAATCTTGGTTGAGTGAAGAGAGGGGTAAGAAACACTGGTATTTCTGACACAATGGCTGACCACTTAATGCCCTGTTCCTCTCCCAGTAGTGGAGTGAGAAGGCCAAATAGCGCTTTCTCCAACGTCTAATGCACTTAGTTCAGGTCACTAAGGTATGGGAGAAATCTGAAGTCTAAGGAGTGATGGAGAAAAGCTTTCCCCATCCCCCAGTAAACAGGGATCCTCACTCATTGTCTTCCCTTCTCCCCCTTCCCCACTCCTTCCTGCTTGTGGGCAGGATTGTGCAAGCCAAGCTGTCTGAAGCTTTCCAGAGAATCTAAGAAACGCTGACCGATTCAGAAATGCTGAATCAACTCTTGACTCTCCTACCTCCCAAATCCTTACTGGTGAACAATATATGTCTTTACAGTTGAAAACCCTTAACCAATCCTAATCCCTAAGATGACAAAAAGGAGAGAGCTGCACATGCATATTCTCTTCTTAGAAGAATAAAACATCATATTTGGGTGAGACATTAGAGGTTGTCAAGTTCAGGTTTTGACCTCTATATGTATGTTACCAGCATGCCCTTGTTCTTACTGGGACCTTGTTTATGCTAATAGAAAGAAAGGGTAGGGTTGTTGCATTCCATAGTCTAGGCCTCCTAGCCTCCTGAGTTAGCTCTTTGACAGAGACCAACCTCCTTGTCTGATTTTTTTCCAGGCCCAGGACCCTATACTTGAGAGTGTGTGGAGTCCCTGAGAAGGAGGGAGGCCCTGAGAGAGCAAAAAGTATTCTCTCTCCACTCCTTTCCATATCAGTAACCATCCAGGTCTTGAGGCGTTTCCTCTAGTTTGTGGTTAAACATCTTCTCCTTTACTGTAGGTGAGGAGAATCCCCTCCTTTAGCCTCCACAAGTTAGAAATTGAGGAGCATTTATTTGCTCTCAAGGAAAATGGACGATAAGAATTTGAATGGCCTGTCAGCTCTTCTGGGTATTATGTGCAATGCTCAGTACCTTCAGGATCAGCCGCAGACCTGCAGTGACTATGTTAGGTGTCTAAGAGAAAGAAAGAAGATGGGAGAGAGGGGCAGGAGTACAGAGAGACCAGCAAGTCAGAAAAGAGGAATGGCAAGAGGAAGCTGAAAATGGAGGACGAGAAACCGTGTAATGATTTAAAGAAAGTGAGCTTAGGAGTTCAGTAACGGAAGTTCAAACCCCTGCTACTGTCTACTGAGCTTGTATAAATTCTTCGGTCTGTGTGTGACTTCCCTCATCCGCAAACCGGACAGAGATACGATTCTTTAGCTTATACGGTGCTATGAGGTAACGCATAAGAAGCAGTGACACAGGCCTAACCCTGTGAGAATTGTATAAAAGGCAGCTGTTACTAGCAAAGAGAGTGGTAGAAAAGGATGAGGGTAGAATGAGAGAGAAAAAGCAGGAGGTAGTACAAAAAAAAAATAGGGAAGAGCAGAAGGGAAGGAAATGAAGAAAAAGGAAGCGGAAATTAGAAGAAAGCAAAAAGAAAGAAATGTTATATCCTTCCAAGATTTGGGACAGGTTTTCCACACTCAGTCACTGGAGACATTTTCCTGATCTTCCCACCGTCACTCACACCTTGCACGTCCCCAGGGAAGTAAAAAAATTAGTTCCACACAGAAAATGTGACTTTGGTCTGGCCTGCCCCAGAGTCTCACCTGCTGACTTGCCTGTGGTCAAGGAATCTCACCTAGAAGAAGTAAAGCCCAAGTTCAAGAAAGGCACATCTTGGACACCAGAAAGAAGTAGTAGGAAGGATTTCTCACTTGGCGGGAACAATAGAAATTAGCTTAGGAGGTATAAGGATAAGGCAGATTTTCAGAGACCCTGGCAGAGGAAGTAGGGTAAAAGATCTTTCATTTATGATTTCCTGCTGACCCTCGGGCAAAGTCAGGGAAAGTTAAGATTGATACCATGTACCAGATACTCAGTTGATAATGTGAAAGGTTCATGGCCGAAGCCAGTTTTCTAAATATACTGGCTCTCCATAGGCCCCTCAACTTCAGCCAAAGAAATTTGTAGCTGAGTGAGTTTACTGGGTGTATAGCACATAAAATTCTTTGTAGATTATTATCCATTACTTGGCAGGAAGTGTATTAGGGAGGGACAGAGGAAGCTGCCATGGCAGGAATAAATTCTGCCAAATACAATGGTAATTTCCCTCGCTGCTTTAGCTGTAATCTGATTGGCTTCCTACCACTTTTAAAAGTTCAGACTTGAACCTGCTGTTTGAAACCCTGCGCAGCACTGCCTCACCCTATCTTTCCTTCACATATTCAATACTTAAGCTGTGCAGTTCCCCATATATATTCATGTATTCTACGGTTTCTTACATCTTTATTTTGGCTGTTTATGTTCCCTCCACCTATAACATCCTTCTTCCCTTTCACTCATTTGTTTAATAAGTTTCTTGGGTAGTTGCTGGGTTCCGGGCCTTGTACCCACCACTGGAGATGCAGTAGGAGGGAGAAAAGACAAACAAGGATTCTCTGCTCTTCACAAGTTCTCCTGCCCTATTTCTGTAAGGTCAATGAGGTCTGGTGTTGAGGAAGTACAGAGTACTACGAGAGTGTGGGGCAAGGACCTAAATCTGGTTTACTGGGTTTGAGGAGGCTCTCATTAGACCAGAGCCCTCTGCAATGGAAACAGGTTCTAAAATCTATAAAGCACAGGCTAGGGATTTAGTTCAGTGGTTCCGCCGCCTGCCTCAAAAGCGCAAGGTCCCGAGTTTGATCCCCATTACCAAATAAATAAATAAAATCTAAGCAAAAAAAGATGGTCCTATGGGAGGTCCTACCCTTTGCAAATGGGAAGGGAATCTAGCAACAGAAGGAGAGGGAAGCAAGGACAGGGGAAGGGGAATAAAAGAATTAAGATGTGTTAAGTATATATACCTACTCCCTAAGATGAGTGTGAACCCTGTATACTACAAACGTACTGTACTAATAAAAATACAGAAAGAGGTGGCCCTAGAAGCTGGAAGGAAACATACCAGCTCCCAAAGCTCAACATCTTCTTTCTGTGTGTCATATCTTGGGACAAATTAAATATTGAAGGGGTCACTAGGGAACTTGTTTGATGATAGTAATATGGTACTTGGGTCAAAACAGAGGAGCCAGAGGAAGGGTTTTATATATTGAATACGAATCATTTCATGCCTTGACTTCATAAATTATCTGGCCGGGAATATAACTCAGGCATCTCCATTCCCAATCCAGTGCTTTTGCAGATGCCTACCTCATTGTGCCCATGCACGGCTAACTGATCACAGAACAGCATTTCAGCATTTCACCCCAGATCAATAAACTCATAGCCACGTCTTCCTCCAACCCCCTCAGATGCAGAATGAAACAGAGCCATTGACCTCAGCTCTTAGCTGTTTCCTGGGCTCTAAATACAGTATCACCCAGCTTGTCGGACACGTTCTCACACTTGGTTGTATGTTGCCTTCCATTTATTCTCCAAAAGTTTTTACAAGTTGTTTTTGAATTTTTAGTATGTACCTACCCCTGTTCTGAGGACAGAGTTCTGAGTTCTGAGAACAGTACCTCAATGATACCAGGCTTGACAAAAGTTAAACCCTCAATAACAAAATCTGCTGGGTGAGGTTGCGCATGAGGCAATAAAGTTGCTGTGAGTTCAAGGCCACGGTGGAATACATGGTGAGACCCTCCCTCAAAAATACATATTAACAAAATCTGGTGCAAGTCCTTCCCTCAGGGATTTAACAGCCTTTCCCCTCAAATGAGCAGTTCATTTCTCAAAATCAAAACTTCACTGTCTTAGCTTCTCTT